TCTCTCTCTCTCTCTCTCTCTCTCTCTCTCTCTCTCTCTCTCTCTCTTTCACACGCTCTATTTTTCTTCTTCGTTCAATTCTACCTCTTGCTCTCGCAAAGTTCAATAAAATCAATATTTTTTTCCGGACATTAAGTTCCTTTTTATTAAACAATTTTCCATCCACACACACACTCACACACACACATAAACCGACTGTTTATTGTTGTTGTTTTTTTCATCGTCGTTATTCGGTCAATTTCTCATCTTGCGTAGAAAAATGATGATTTGTGCGTATGGTATGTGGTCGGTCCGTTGCGGTATGAGTAGTGTGGTTTGTTAACGAGCGCATGAGTCATACATTTCGAATTTCGAGTTTGTGCTAAAATCAATCAATTGCGATTGGATGTGGATTATGTTCCCCGCACTAAATCACTTTCATTAGTTCGACGATATTTTCTTCTCTTCCGCCGTTTGTTCAATTTTGTAATGTTTGTTTGTTTCCCCGTTTTGGATGTATTTTGATTTAGGTGGAACTGGCCCTGTGGGATACCGCTGGCCAAGAAGACTACGACAGGCTTCGACCTCTCAGTTATCCAGATACAAATGTCATTCTAATGTGCTTTTCTGTCGATTCACCGGATTCGCTGGAAAATATACCAGAAAAATGGACACCCGAAGTAAGTAAACGACAAATGGAAACGAATTCATTGCGAACAAACCTTTGAACTGAATTGCTAATCCGTCATTTCAATTTTAGGTTAAACATTTCTGCCCAAATGTTCCAATCATCTTAGTCGGTAACAAGAAAGATCTTCGAAGTGATCCAAACACAATTAAGGTAAGACGTCTACAATCAATATTTACCACCAAATCACACACACACACACGCACAACCCCTATGGTTTACTAATTTCGCTCACTCTTTTTCCATCCGTTATTCATCACCGCACCAAACGCAAACCATAGGAATTGGCAAAAATGAAGCAAGAACCAGTCAAGCCAGAGGAAGGTCGCGCCATGGCTGAAAAAATTAATGCATTCGCATATTTAGAGTGTTCGGCAAAATCTAAAGAGGGTGTTCGTGAAGTATTCGAAACAGCAACACGGGCTGCATTACAAGTTAAAAAGAAGAAGAAGGCACGATGTAATTTACTCTAAAAGAGTTGCACATGGAAACATATTACTTTTTTTGTCTTTTTTTTTGGAAAATTAACACATACAACAAGATTTTATAAAATAACATTAAAAAAAAAGAGAAAAAAAAACCAAGAACAACAACGTATTTACAACAACATCAACAGCAAGAAAATGAAATGAACCATGCCCGTAGTTCATGAAAGAGAAAGAAAACCACAACAACACTTTTTTTCGATTTATCGTTTACTTCTTTTTCTGTTTTTTTCTTTCTTCAATTGATTGATTTTGACCGACATTCACACATTCAGCGAAAGAAACAAACTGAAAATTTAAAAAAAAATTAAAATTAAAATGAAAGAAGAATGAAAAAAAAACATAAATTAATAAATGAAACAAATTTAAACGTCATTTTGATTTGGTCAATTTTCTCTGGCCACGAATGTGTCAAAATCAAAGTGTGATGTAGGTGCCTCTGCTAAATACTGCTACTACTGCAGCTACAACAAATTCTTCATTTTAATTTTTCCGAGAATCCAACTCTTTTTTTCTTTTCTGAACACGTTCAACAAAAACAATTAAATGAAACAAACAAATAAATGATTAAAAAAAAAGAAGAAATTATAATAATAATAATAGAGATGAAACAAATTGAGCAACAAAAACAACAAAAGTAAAAAAAATTTAATCTATTTTAGAATACATTATGATAGTTTTTTTTTCTTCTTTATCTTAACGTTTAATTAATCAATTGATAAACACACACGAAAATAAAACTACAACAACAAAAATTACAAAAAAAAAACAAATCTGCTAAGGATGGACAAAAGAAAGAAAGAAAAAAATCAAATTATCGAGAGAAAAACAAAAAAATGGATTTATTTTAAGTGAATTAATTCTAAACTGTAATAATTTTGTACACACAAAACCAACTTTTGTGGGACGACAGAATTTTTTTTAGGAATGTTTAACGCAAAATAAACAAAGGAACAATATTTAAAGAAAAATACATAAAGAAAAGAGAAAAAAAAACAAAATAGATAGACAAAAACTATGATTAAGTAAAATCAAATGAAAACAACACATTATTTCGCATAACAACAACAATAACAGCAGCAGCAACAAAAACAACAACAACAACCAGAAAATGAATCACCATCATCAACTTTCACCAGCTGAAGGAAAATCAAACTATTTGATGATTGAGAGTGCGCCAGAATATTCCAAAAACGTAGACAGGTTTAGGGACAAATTACACATTTGAACAAGTTCGAACACATTGTCATTCGCAAAAAACGAATTTCAACAACTTATCCCCCTCCTCCATTTCTTCGAACGTTTTTTTCTTTTTCTTTTGTAAAACAAATATAACATTTTACATTACACACGGTTTCTTATTTTTTTTTTCTCTTTTGTTCGACAAATTAAACAAATAACTAATTCAAAACCAATGAAAATGGAAAAACAACAAACAAACTGTAACTAGACAAGATGAAGAAGAAAAGAAAGCACATTACTTTATGCATATATTTTAAAGATAAAAAGATGAAAGAAAACTTTTTTATTAAGCATGAAAAAAAAATCAGTTGTATTTTTATTATAAATAATAAAGTCGTATTTATTATGTCAGTCCGAAATCGATTTTTTTTTTAAATCCGATTTTCTGTAAATCTGTTTTTGAGTTTGGTCAATTTATATTCATATTTTTTTTCTTTTCAAAGAGACACAAACAAACAAACACACACTAAAAATCGTTTATGTTAACTTTTGTTCAATTCTAAGATAACTTCTAACACATTTGCCTCGAGTGCATCGATCATACGGCAAAATAACAGGGACTATGTAAACATTCGTATGAATCAACAGCAATTATCGACTCTAATTTAATTGTTGGTGATTTTATTTTTGATTTGGCTGCTATACGGAATAAAACTGAATGTTGCCATTTACATTTCAAGTTGAATGTTTCGAAACGAGAGATAGAGAGAGAGAGAGAGAGAGAGAGAGAGTCTGTTGTTGAAAGTGATTGCCGAAAATAACAACTGATTGCATCCTGTTATTTTGATTCATGCCACAAGTGCACGTTGGCGAGATAATTTTTGTTATATATATTTAAATTGAGTGCTATAACAAAACAAAATCTAATCTAACATTACGTTACTCATTCAGGCATCTGAGCATGTTAACTAAATATTAATTGTAAAGAAATCATACATTTGGCTGAATTAAAATTGGGAGCATAAATGAAAGAGAGTTGCATATCCCGAATAAAAAGGGAGAGAATACATTATTCAAACAGTACATTCGCAACTTAAAAGGTCGGAAAAAGACTTAGAAAGAAGAATTCCATTTTGCAAACAGAGAGAAAAAAAAACATGTTTTCGATGAATAAATTTGAGTAAAACTAACAATTGTCTTCATTGCGTGCATTGCGACAGATAGAAAATGTATCGCGTTTTTAAAACCGAACGAGAGCACTTCGAATGAATGTTCGTTTTAGAAATGATTTGTAATTATGAAAATGAAACAATGCAGCAAAATGATATGTTCTCTTTTAATTCTAAGGAATCGACTGAACAAATTGATCTAGAGAAGAAGAAAAAAAAACAGATGATTAAGGTTTCAGTGAGCAACTTTTATTCCACAAGCAATAGAACCGACAATTTTTTCTTTCGCTCTTTTTTGTTGTTTTTTTTTATCGCAACACCAATGTTTCAATGCAAAAAGATAAGAATATTTTTACTGGAACATTTCCTACAAACACAGACACAACAACTAAGCTTCAATGTTGCTTTGCTTGATTCAACTAATTTAAATTGATTTAACAACAGAGAACATACTAGTATACACAAATACAAGGAATTGACAGAATTCTTCATACAGAAAAAGACGTGAATTGTGAGACTATGAAATGGAATAGGAATTTTTTTTTAGAAAGGCAATTTCACGTTGGAAGGTCAAAACAATTAAAAAAAAGTATATTTTAAATTTAAAAAAAAAAGTGCCTGGTTTGCGTAGCTATTGAAATACATTTGCTGAAGTGCACATGATACCCTTCCGCCGACATTTTTTTGAATTGATTTGGATTAAATGAAACCGTTGATCAATATGTTTCGTTTTATCCTTAGCCGATTGATAAAGTCATAGAAATAATCATGGGTGTATACATAATCCCAATTGCCATTGATGTGTTGACTTTTTTTTATTTTTCTTTTCTTTTTTTATTTGGTCAATGGATAATCACATTGTGTGTGCCACAAATCATCAATTCTTCGCATTGTCTTCTCCAACTCACAACAAAACTTATTTATTAGATAAACCGAGAAAATGAAATGATAAGCACATTTTCAACTAGTTGCTTCCAAATCCAGAGAGAAGATATCTGGATAATTGGCCATCAAAACGAAAGCAACTCATTTACTTAAATACTATGTAGAATGGTCATCCAAAAATAATTATCAATTGATACGATCGATTCGCGATAATTATTGCATATCCAAGAAAAGCTTGAGCTTCATTCATTTTGCGAAACTTAGTTTGTTCGCGATCGTCGTTGAGGTTTCATACAAAACGTGTAATTCAGTCGATGAATTATGCGCTAGCAAAAATTAACTGTCGAAAACGATCCCATTATTTCTTGTCATTTATTTTTTGTTCGCCATCGTAGATAACCAAATGTATGTATCTTTTTCTTTTCTCGCCGTTTTTTTTTTAAATTCTTTCGTTTCAAATGTAACTCATAGCAATTTGCTAGATTCATTGCTGTTTTCATACCAAAACTAAAATTGCATATTTGAGTCTTCTACAAACCGACATGTTAACAATCGAACAGTCTTAAGGTACAGAATGAAGAAATAATTATAGAGAAAAACAAACAACAAAAACTAACTAATCGAAACTGTACTGAATTGCATTAAATGAGCATTAAGCAAACACATACAACCACATATTTACTTAAAAATGTAAAAACACACACACCCACACAACATACCGATAATATAAACAAATGCAAGAGAGATTTTTTTACAGGAAAATCCAGAACATGAACACACAAAAAAATGAAATAAAAAAAGAACACTTTTTTTAAAACAAATTAACTAAAACAAACTAAATGCAATACAAATTTAACGATTTTCTATATAATCAATAAGCAAGAAGAAAAAACACTATATTAAGATAAATAACAACTGAATCAGGAAATGAAACCAGCTTTCAATTTGTTCTTTATAATTTTTACAATAAACCCCAGATTTGCCACACCAAACGTTCGCCACCAAACTGCATCCTCATCCCCGCAACCCCCATCCTGTACACATTCCGAACGTCCTCCTTTGTGTCAGTGATTCAACGAGATATAGACATTTACAAACAAACAAACAAACAAAGAAAAACATCTTTATTTGCATTATGTCCTGAATTTATTTTCATGTAATTTTAAGATGTTTTTTCTAATGAAATTATAATATTGACATACTGAAATACTGAAGAAATTCATATAATAAAAATGATGAAACTGAAAAAAAAAATTGTAAAAAGATCCACTGCATTTCAATCATTTCATTTTGTTTTCTACTATTCATTCATTCTTTTTTGTATTTGACTTTATCCCATTGAAGCGCAATTTCTCCTCACAGCAGTTTTTAAAAACCGATGGCATCTTTAGCGAACGAATCAATTTTCCCATGAACAATTGGTTTCTCATCATCGGATGCAAATGAACAATCGATGGCACCGCGACTCAATTTTATCAAATCATCGGAACTCAAGTTGAATGTATCACTAGCGATCTGAAGCTCTTTCGACAAACTCGTGCTAAACACACCAAAATCATCCGTCTGAAAAACAACACAACTTGATAAATGTTATAATGATAATAATGAAGCAATGCAAAGCGTACACATATCACAACTGGATGGCCATTTTTATAGAAGCGCCAAAAATGATGGTCAGAATATGTTGGCACCACACCACACAATAAATTGCTCGTCAAACAGCATTCTAAGGCGATTTCATTGTTCTTCAGTAGAATTTCCTCATTTTCACCTAGAAATAAAAAAAAACGTTTCGATTTTTATTTTTTTCTAAATGATTAAATCATTGTTCATTTGTTGAGGCCCATTAAAAGATCTACATCAAAATTGTGCTCAAAATTTTCTCCATATCAGTATGGGTCACACAGAATTTTACTTCATTCCCAATTAACTGGCCAAAACAACTAACAAATCATTCAAAATATGTCAATGAATGTTTGATCAAGAAAAATGAAAATACCTTTGATAAATGTTCCATGGCCAAGTCGATGCATTCCAAATTTGAGCATCGCACTTATTTCATCTTGATCGTCAATTTCGCCACAGTGAAGTGCCAATTTCAATCCAGTCTCCCTGGCCTTAGCGAGAATGGGTTCGAAATCGGAGAATTTCTTGGATGCTGGATCGCCACTCAAATCAACACCACACACAATGTTCGGATGTAATTTGGCATATTTACTGGCCAAGGAGCCATTCTCTTCAGCTGATTCGATACTTTCACGGCGGTTTATCGACACGATAAGTTTTACCAATATTGATGGCAACTGTGACTTCATTTTCCTGCCATGTGACAAATCGATCAGATAATAAAGGACAAAAAAGGGATACAATTCATTAATACTTCAATCATATCCAATAAGTAAAGTGTTAGAAGTCACAAGAAAAATATTTAAAAGTAATTACAAGATTGTGTCGATCACAGCCATTATGTACTCATCTTTGGTCATTTTCATTGTGGAGCGTGGTGTTGATCTCAGTTCAACATAAACCACATTATCATCACTGAAATCACGGATAACGCACTCAGTTGCCAGTGCAACTGCCTCTGGAGTGTCGGTCAGTTCGTGAGCATATTTGAACTTTTCGAAAGCACTGCAAAAACAATCCAAAATAAACGATAATGTAAAATCAATCATAACCATGCGAAATTACTCAATTAAATCCATTTTGGTGAGCAGATGATATTTTTCAGTGTGTTTTGCGTCCGTTCCATATTTCAATTGGCTAAGTTTACATAGTGTCTCATTGGACAAGGATCCATTGATATGAGCATGCAATTCCTGATAGAAAAAAGTAAAATGAATTCGGTGCTATGAACATTAGAAGAGAATGCGAAAATTTACCACTTTCGGCAATTGTTCAATGAATATTTCCTTGTTTGGCTTCATTTTGATTCGTTTCCAAAATCTCCAAATGTTGAACACAATTCATCAAAATGCAAAATGCAAACCGAAAAATTCTGACATTAGCGCGCCGCTTTTGACATTTCAACACAGAGCATTGTCAACCAGTGTCTACTTAAACCAATTTGACAGTTGAGCAGCTCTTTTTGTAGCTAAACAAAAACCGACCGTTTTTTTTGACAATACCGCTCATTTTGACATTTCAACACAGCGCACTGTGAACCAGTGTTAAACTGAACCAATTTGACAGTTGAGCAGCACGTTGTTTTCGCAGCAAAACAAAATCGACGGTTTATATTATTTAGCAAGAGTTTAGTACTATAGCGATCGAAAATCCACACAATGGATACAAACGACGAGGAATTATTGTCGATATCAAGTAATTCGATGTCGGCTAGTGATGAATCCGCTATTCACAAACCACACGCAAAAAGAGCGAAAAAAGGAGACAAACGAAAAAATAAATATCCCGTACGAGTGGCACATGTTCCGAAGCGGATATTTGAACACGTTCACCGAAGAGTAAAGAGAAACAAATCCGTTATCGATGAGAAAATGCAAACGTTGGAGAAAACGAATTGCAATCGCTTTATTCTGAATCAAATTCAAGGTGACAAAATGGAAACAGTCAGCGCCGAATCGACGACACGTTTGATGTGGGAAATGAAAGAATGTCTACAGCGTAGAAAGTATGGTGATTTGGCCAAATTGATCTCAGTATTCACAGAAATTCCGGTTGAAAAGCAACGCTGGTATCCAACATTACTCAAATATTGCTTGATTGTATTGATGTACGATCCGTTGGTACAGGGCACCGACCACATGGACATGTTTCTCGATGGTGTGATGGGCTGTCGCAGTGATGCAGACAAAAGGGAATTTTTGGAAGACATAAATCGACTTCCAACTAACATTCATGTCACAAAGTACGATAATCTATGGACGGAATATCCAATTCCGAATCAATTGAACACCGAAACTGTGGATCAACTCTGTGAAACACTCAATAAACGAATCAATATCAAAACAGACGTAGACAATAATGATGACGAATCAGATATTGATTTTGATTCCGATTGGGAAACATACGATGAAAACTCGAGCAATGACGATAACGAAACGACAACTGAACCCGAAAAAATCTGTGATTTTAATACACTAATGAACCAATTTCTAAATAAATGAAAAACCAAAATAAAATCACTTTTTTGTTTTATTTCTCGATGTATTTTCTGGGGATTGCTAAATATATGATTTCCAAAATACTTTGAATACATACAAGTTATTGGGCATTTTTCAATTGTTTTGTGTTCAATCGATTTAATGAAATTTGATTAAGACACTGTTTGCAATTGTTGTCAGTTTGGAAATAATTTCAATCATTTGACTGGAAACTCAACTGCTGCCTACAAACATCGTCAACACCCCATTGAAACGATCTTAAGCATTTCTTCGGTGTAAAATTAAAATTATTCACAAAAATGAAATTATTTGCAAAAGAATATTTTATTTATAGTTCAATGGTGGATTTTCTTTCGAGTCTTATTAAAACCAAATAAAAATTCATTTTCAAATTGAAAGTTGAAGAATATTAAACATATTATAATGGATAATTGAGTAGAACATCTTGTCTGGCCAACTCAAGCAACATAGGATCGTCGAAGAATTTGTTGATAGACACATCTTCTGATAAGCCTTTTCGTCGTCGTGTCTTTATCATGAACTCTCGTGCCAAATGTGTGGCTGGCTGTGGTTCGAGTGGTCGAATTATGATGCCCTTATCCAGTGGATCACCAGGAACGATCTAAACAAAACAATAATAATATTAGATTGGGTATTTCATTCTGAATATGTTTCTTTCTATCGTCTATAACTCACCTGCCAGTGATGAAATACGGATAAGCAGAAGGCTTGTCCTTGGGTGTGCGTTCGGAGATCGGTTTCAAATCCAAATGAATCGATGGCGGGAATGAATGCTTTGATTACGTACAATGGTGATCCCGAGATGGGTGCATCCTGTGTCACATGACCTCTGCGACGTGCCAGCACTGTATAAACGGCTGAAACACAATCGGCCGGCGCTTGTACTTCGACAAAATTATACGGTTCCATTAATCTAGGTGTGGCCATCAGAAACGCTGAATAGGCAACACGACGAGCGGTTGGAATGACTTGGCCACCACCACGATGCAGCGGTTCATTTGCAATAACTGCATCCAAAATCTTAAATTTAACATTTCGAATTGGCTCTTCGCACAGTGGACCTTCACGTGTTCCCCACTGGAAGCCTTGTACAATCGAATCCTTAACAGCACCCAACAGGTTTTTATCCACTTCAGACGGCAGTGTGTCATCAACCAAAATATTTGGACCGGCATTATCTGGACCAAATGCCCAAATCGAACGTGCGGCGAGCAAATCCCAATCGTAGTTCACTTGGAAAAATTCGCCCAAACGTTTCTTATTCCAACCAATTGATACGACCTCATTTTCAATATCTTCGGCCAAACCCTTTTCCAATGGTTCGGCAATCATTGTGATTTTATTCTTTTTGTTTGGCGTTTCGGCGAAACATTTCAACGAACTGGTTTCGACAACTGTTTCACAGAATGCAACCACTGGGTCGGCCACTTTGATGTCGATTTCAGAATACATCTTTCGTAAATCGTGCATAACACAATCTAAATACAATTCTCCAGTTCCAAGAATAACATGTTCGCCAGACTCTTCGACTCGTGTCGATAGTAGTGGATACGATTTGTTAACTTTACGTAGACCGTCCAACATTTTTGGCAATTCTGATGGGTTAACCGGTTCAACGGCGATTTTAATGATACTTTGTGTGTTGAATTTAAGCGGTCGGAAAATGTACAACTCTTCACTGTTCTGTGCTTCGGTTATGGTTGAAGTTTTCACAATGCATTGATCGATACCTTCGATCAGTACCCAGTTGCCAACCGGTACACGATTCAATTCCACTTTGTAGCGGGCTTCATAGATCCAAAGTCGTCCAACTTGCAGTACACGTGAGTCTTCTTCATCCATTAGCGAATAATTCTCACCCAACACTCGAACCTCCTGACCGGCATACAGTGTTCCACTCATGACACGAGCTAAAACCTATTTTGATTATAATCATTTTCAAGAATGTTATTCGAAAAGATTTAAATGTGATATTTAGGCAGCAGAAGCTTTGTAAAAACAAAATGCCCGAAAATGGCACCTACTTGAAAGAAAGTGCAATCATCCGTTGGATACATTTTTGAGCTGTGAACCATCAACGCACCATGCTGATCACAATTGACCATACCATCGTACATGGTGCCATATTTTGGACCGGTGTACACATGATCCACTTTGTTTCGCGCATTATCCAGTGGCGATTGTATGTGCTCCACGCACATTTGAACGAAACCACTAAAATCGCCAATGAATCGATTGCAAATCAAACGTAGCAGCGGCCGAATGTTACACTTCATTTCTTCTTTCGTCACACGAATCTCCAGCTCAGACAAAGTATCAAGGAGTGCAGCGTCAACGTCACCAACAACCTGAGCGAATAGCTTGTACAGCGGCTCAAGGATGAATTCAACAAAACTGCGTTGTGCCGAATTGTGTGGTGGTTTCTTTGTGAATTTACGCCTGAAAGACAGAATTTGATAAATTAAGAAATGGATTCCATGAAGAGTTGATAGTTTCGAGCTATGCTTCATAAAGTTGACATTCGATTCAAATTTCCGAGAAAAATGTCCCATAAATTATGGAAACTTACGTTTTTGGTTGGAAGTAAACGTCACCCCATAAACGTTTGGCAAAATCACTGTAGTTCACCGATGGATAGGTGTCTGTATAGAGTTTAGCAAACGATTTCAATGTAAAGCAAATGCCATACAATGAACTGGCAAAGCAAACATTGCCCAATACAGGCGACATCACCAATGGTGTCTCCTCTGTTGAATAGGTGCTACAGAGAAGAAGATAGTTTTCGATTAACATTTGATACAAATTTAATGGTTACTTGACCTGGCTTTTACCTTAAAATACTATTTACTTCTTCGATAATGTGCTTCAATTTGAAGTATGCATCTTGAGGTGGCAATTTCAATTCCAAAATCAGGCGATCAATCTGTAAGTGGATTATAGAATAAAATATAAGATTTTTCTGGTGAATTAACTCATTTAGGTGTCTCTTTCTTTGTCATCCGATTTTATCCAAATTTGCAGTCACTTAAATTAAATGGAAATTTTTCAAATAAAGCGAAATTTCAAGAGAATATTTTCTCTTTCCATTGAATCCAGCAACAATTTACCTTATTAATGCAAAGGGTGATGGCTTGTTTTTCCTGAACGGCATGTTTGAGCAATCGTTCCGTATTCAACATGACACCTTCGGCAGCATCCACAAACAATACGATACCGTCAGTGAGTCGCATCGATGCGGTGGTTTCATCGGAAAAATTCACATGGCCGGGTGTATCAAATATGTTCATCAAGTAGCTTTTTGCCTTGACGTCCTGCAACACCAGCGTGACTGGTGTTGATTTAATGCTCACACCGCGTTCTTGTTCTGTGAACAATGTGTCTGTATATCGCAATGCTCTTTCTTCGTTGTTTTCGAATTGTGGATGTGTTTGGCGAATAAGACAATCGACGAATGTGGTTTTGCCATGGTGCAAGTGACCAACCAGAGCCACATTCCGAATCAGTGTTGGAGTATCCATCAAATCAGCCAAGAATCTGCAAGTATAAGTTATATTTCATAAGCAACACATTGAATTGGTAGGGTAGAGAGATAAATTGATAATAAATCATTTAGCAAAATGAAAAGCCGGTGATATTCTCGCGGCAAACATACTCCATTTCATATGTTGTGTCCGGTAAATTTTGTTCTTTCAGCTGGAACTTCATCTTCTTCACGGGCTCAATGAGCGGTTTGTCCAGCGGTTGTGCATCTTCTTCTTGAACGATTGTCTCAACATCGGGACCGTACACCTCAAGTGCCGTTGGATAATATTTCTTATCTTCATGCAAAACAACCGCTCGTGATGCCTTTTCGTCATCAACTACATTATCGTCGTCTTCATCCATGGCATCATCCTACAAATACACACCACAAACGCATTGAGATTTGCTTGATAGAAAGAAAAAAATGAAAAAATGTACAGCAAAAACTTACATCCACATCATCTTGTGGCTCTTGGCCATAGATACTCTGATCGTCATCATCATCACTCTCTAAATCGGGACCAATGTAATTGCCAAATTCATCATAGAGATCTGAATCCATGTTGCAGCCTTCTCAATTTCCCTCAAAAAGTCAAGAATTTCGTCGGTGTTTTCTGTGAATGAATGTCCATGAAAAGCAAACGTTTATTGGATTTTGTTTACACCAGTTCACACTTAACCTCAAACATTCAATGGTTAAGCGCCCATTGTAAAACAATAGATTTTCAACATAAAATTGATAACATACATGCACTGGACACAATTTTCTTAGCACCAACAATCGAACCACGAATTAAAATATCGATTTTCCAATTTGTTTAGACCAATGAATTAATTTTCAATGCCGGTTTAATTCTCTTTCTTTTTCGACAAGACGAAGCGAAACACTTTCATATATAAATGCTGCTAGTTGACACTTCAACAAAAGCCGCATAGCGCCGCCTGGTGATATCTTTGACAAGGTTTGAATTGTCAACACAGCAGTGACTCAAGTCAAAGTCGCCAGTAAACATTGAGTGAATATTGAAACAAAAGTTATACCAATTTTTTTCTTCATCATAATCCAATAAAATACAAGGAATTCAAGATGCGACGAAAAGCAGGAATTGGTGCCGTGCATAAACAGAAGCTAGAGGCGGGGAAGTTTAAAGACAAAGGCACTGAAATACAAGATTCTCAATTTGAACAGATGACAAAACAAATGGAAGTTTTTCGTGAAAATTTGGAGGATTTTGCAACGAAGCATCGCAATGAAATTAAGAAAAATGCACAATTTCGACGACAATTCCAGGAAATGTGCGCCGCCATCGGTGTCGATCCGTTGGCATCTGGCAAAGGGTTTTGGAGCATTTTAGGCATGGGTGATTTCTATTATGAGCTTGGCGTTCAAGTTGTTGAAGTGTGTTTGGCACTGAATCATGTTACGGGCGGTTTGATGGAATTGGATGAACTGCGTAGACGCTTGATTGCAGCCAGAGGACAGAAAGCATCCCATCAGGAGATTACTAGTGAGGACATTCTGATGGCAGCAAAGAAATTGAAAATATTCGGAAATGGGTATGAATAACTGTGTAATGTGATTGATTCATTGGAAAAATTGGCAGATTTCATTGACACCAACCGTTTGAATCGTTTATTTTTTTTCCTTTAGATTTGTCGTGTATCCGATCGGTAGAGGCAAACATATGGTGCAATCAATCCCCGGAGAATTGAGCTTACAAGAAACAATGGTATTGACCACTGCATCCAATCAGGGCCAAGGATTTGTCACAATTAGCATGCTGATGAAGGAACTAGGGTAAATTGATCAAAGTGTCTAGCTCGACTCTAAATTAAAAACTGATCGATTTTGATTCTGTTTTTTTTTCATCCACAGTTGGAATGAATTCCGTGCAAAACAAGCGATTGAAAAAATCGTGGGCGAAGGTTTGGCTTGGGTGGACGAACAGGACGAAGAGAAGAGTTACTGGTTCCCAAGTTTATTCCCGAAACGAGAACAAGCCGCTGCTCAGTCTTAAACACTGTTATAATGAAATTTATTCACACTCTGTGTTTTTTCTTTTGCAAAATATGTACATATTTTTATAACATTTCGCAATATCAAATTATTTTTCAAGTCAAACTACATTAGCTTTTATTACGTTTCTGTAGTTCTTTGGTCAACTTTTGATTTTCAGCGATGAGGCGTGAGTTTTCCCTTTGAAACTGTACCAATTCTCTTTGCAGCCTCTCTGTCATTTCAGTGAATGAGTCTCTCCACCTAAAAGTGAGAATGAATCATTTGTATCCGTTGCAAATCAGAAAAATTGGCTTGCGAGAATTTAATGCAATGAATGCAAACTTACTTTTGCTTGAGATTCACGTTTTGAACCAACAGGTCTTGTAACTTCTTCCAACGCTCTTCTGATTCCCTGGAGATAAATGAAGTTCTAATTAAAAATCAAAGCATATTATGTAGTTCCAAATGCGGCTCTCTTTTATAAACATTACTTTGAGGTTGCCTGTTCACATGCGATCAACTTTTCATATGCCCTCAGCTTCATTTCGAGTTCCACCTGTGAACCAAAAATTCCCGAAAATTGTAAAATCAAAGCGCGATTACAAAATGGAATAAAGAGCTCACGATTGTTTTTGAGGCCGTCTGTAGATCGGTGTTGAGCGTTTCATTGGCAGACACGATTTTTGCAAGATTCGATTGCAATTCCTGCACTTGGCCCCTCGACAACTGATTATTTTTCGATAAAGTCTCTTTCGATACGATCAACTGAAAAATACGGTAAATGTTAGAGTTTAAAGTATTTGAGACTGGTGTTCGATTCGAATTTGAAAACCACACTTTTTTGATGATATCCTCCAATTTATGCATTCGTTGTGTATAATTGGTTTTTATCTCATCGATATTGCCTTCGACTTTATCGCCAGCCTCTTCCATCACTTTGCCTATCGTCAACGCCAATTGATCACATTCATCTGGATCGAAAAATAAGAATGAGTAATTGGTATTTAAAATTGATGAATTCAAAATGAAAAGTGTAAAAAATCACCTCGAATTTCTTTTTCACGTAGCATCGCCGCATTTTTCTCTGCCAGTGCCGTTTCGATCATCTGAAGAGCATCGTGCATTTTTGTGTGTGCTATCGATTCGCGAAGTTGGTATTGCTTGTGCAATTCACAATATGATTTCAATTGTTTTTTGTACGCATCTCGCTCCTTTCTCAGTTCAGTTGTTTCAAAGCGATTATCGCGCAACACGTTTTCCATATTTTTTAGTTGTGCCAGGACGTCCCTATGTTCGATCGTTAAATCTGATTGATGGAAAAAATATCGAATGTCAAAAATTGGCACTAAAAGCGATATATATTCAATCACCATTGTATTTTTTGTCCAGCGTTCTCATTTGGACTTCACAGGCGTTTTTACTCTGTTCTAAACTCATTTCGATTGATTTTCCTGAGTCTATTTCATGCCGAAGTTCCACGATTTTCTGCTCGGAAGCGCGAATTTGATTTTTTAACTGTGAATTAACGAAATATCAATTGTACGTTGCAAAGAATTGTCAATATTATTTCTAGCTCTATTGCTTACTTGTTGAACAGAATCTGGACAATTCGACTGTTTCAAATATTGATTGATCTCCGCTTCTAAATTGCATATAGTTTGCTGTGATATTTTCCATAAGTTGTAATAAGTCAGTCTCTCCTATGGTTGATTCGATGGAAATACGAATTTTGTTTGAAAGGTAAATGACTATGTGATTTAAAGTATTTCATTTTGAAGTGACAGTTAACGGCAAGATTTAGCGCGAATCATCGCGTCAATTTTGCAAACTCACAGTGTTGATATATTCAATTTGTCCTTTTAAATTATTGATGGCATCAGTGGAGATTTGTTTGTACGATTGATAATTGGCTTCGGCCTGAACAAATTTTTCATAGGCATCATCATTGCACGGTGCCTCATTTGACTTTACAATTTCGTCAATTTTCTGCCGCAATTTCTCGTGCTCATGCTGAAAGTAGACAGTAATCCATCGATTAAAATCGTGTGCAGTTCAATTGTTTATCCATTTGGTGTTACCTTATACAAATCTAATTCGTTCTCTAGTGATAAGATCAGCTCATTGTCCTTGCATCCACTAAATTATATTGAAAAATGTTAGAAATCAATCGAAAATTGGTCAATATCATCCAAAGAACGAAAAACTGTAATGATCGAGCAACTCACCACTCAAAAGTCATTGAACAAAACAACAAAATGAAATGAGAATGATTGAAATGTTTTTGCTGCTGGCACGCTTCACCCTTTTCCGTCACAGTTGAAATAGTAAACAAAACAAAACTAAGTGGCATTTCACATTGTGGCTGAATGCGTGGCATAAGCAAGTAACCGTTGCTATGGATATCGGAAATACAAAACAGCAAGTGGTATACTGTGCGGTGTGTTTGTTTTGTGACCGTATTCACCTAGATTAATTGTGTAACAGTGATCCCATCGATCAATCAAGACTAAGAAACAGAGTGTTTTGTGAGCGAAATGCCAATTTTTTCAAAAAAGTTCGATACAAAGAGTATACCACAACGGAGCAAACGAGATGGCAGTTCTGCACAGATTCAAGAGAAACTGGACGATTTTCAAGTGATTCAATTAAACTTGACGAATAAAAAGAAGTTAAAATTCGTCGATGGCATGTGGATTGTAACTCAGCAACCAGGAGACGCCGACGACATTACCGCGATGCGAAAACGTTTGCAAAAGCTAGAAGAGGAGAATAATTTGAATCAAATCAAAGTCGATATACTACTCGATATGCTCACCGAGAATTTATCCGAATTAAAAATACTTCGTGATAAATGAATTGTAGAAAACGCATAAGATAACGAATAAAATGATTTTGAAGAAATTTTCTCATTTAAACTAAAGAAATGTTGTGGGTGCTTTTTTTCTTCGTTCTTGTAAAGCGATCGGTGATCAAAATATTCATATTCCTTTTTTCATTGCAAATAAGCGCATTCTAATAGTTGTTCAATTTGCTTGTGAACATTCCACATTCTTCTGTTGTTGTTGTTTTTGTTCCGTCTTTGTTTCAGCAGAAATGATGAAATATCAACAAAAATAATTGCTGACTGTTAACCAAGCGGGAATATCATGCGTGTGCATTTCAGGAGGAACAACAAAAAATGGACAAGTGTGCCACGACCGAAAACAATTTGCAAGCAACGGCAAAAAAAAAATTAGCATCGCACCAAGCAATTCAATGTCAGGTGTTATCTAGTACTTTGATTTGTGCATCATAAACACAAAACTCACCAATATTCAGATGCAACACCAAATACCGTATTCAATGCCAACCCGAAAAATTCATATGTAAATATGTTTACACTATTTTGTTGCTGTTGCTATTGCTGGTTCTGTTGTTTCAGCGATGAAATGACAACGACAGATGGCGTTGGTTGGATTTTTTGTATACGTAAGTTTGGAATTGCAGAGAAAAAAGTCATTAGTTTCGTGTCAAAATACATTCTCTTTTGAGCGATTTGATTCATTCGTCATTTAAATCGAACATTAGCCAAATCGGATTGAAAGTGGCCAAACAAAGCAGCTGTAGCAACGAAAGCAATATAGCCAACACGAGAAATACACAGTGCTGTTTTTTGTTCGTTTCCTGGCCACAGTCAACATATTCTGTGATCAAAATTGAATTATTTTTTCATTCTGCTTTAAATATTTTGATAAGAATATCTTGCGGGTGAATTAATTTCATTGATGTTACGGAAAACCACTTTATCTACAAACAGCTCAATACACACATAGCTGAGACGGGGAGACAGAGTGAGAAAGACAGAGAGAGAGAGAAAGAAAATTATTTACAAAAAAACACACCATACGATCCAGCACATTCAAAAAGTAAGTAGAAAATGTAGTATTTTTCCACATATCTTGAATTCGCTGATTGGAAACTGGATGCATTTGCCTCAACAACAACAACAAAAAAGAAATACTGTTTCTAGAAAAGTGAAAATGAAAACAGTGTGCGTGTGTATATATAGTTGTATGTTTCGAATTTGACGTGAAATGTTTGTAAATGAAGGACACGAGCAAGTTCGAAATTTCAAGAGGCAAATCGAGTGTCCGGATTGGCAAAAGGGGTGAGCAATCGATGCCATTTACTTGCAATAACTATTTGGTATTTTAGTTCCGGTTATTACAAGTCTAAGTGCATGCCGTAGCCTTTTTTTCTCAGTCGCACTCATAGTTGATACTTGAATTAAGGTTATGTGATTTTGTGAAAGTCAATCGTCTCGATGGTCACTTTTTTTTAACATTTCCATATGTTTTCACATTTCAGATTTTTGCATGAAGTGTCGCACACAAAATGTAGTGTATCGATCCCGACGGTGCGGTGTATCATTCGTATGACCCAACAAGAAGAAAAAAAAGAGGACACACATACAATTCAAGTTTCCAGCAAATAAATCAATTCGCCAGAAAAAATAATAATTTTTGGTGAACGTGTACTGCACGGCTGATCGTAATTCGGTCAAGAGAACGGCACAAGTGATTGCGACTGGACCTTCTTTTTTTTTAAACAAGACCGAATTTCAATTTGTGGCGACTGATTACGTAGTGCATTCAAAATGGATCAAAGATATAATCGGCACAGTGAAGTGCGTGAATTGAAGTTGGGCTCGACATTCAACACACCAAAGCCGCGCACATCGTTTCACACATTGAAATATGATTTCAAGCCAGCCAGTGTGGATTTATCGAAATCAGCAACGTTAGATGTGAGCTCAAATAATCAAGTGACTGTAACGGTGCCGCATTTAGACTCATCCGGTGTGCCGAAAACGGTGTTCAAAGGCAATCAACGCAACTACACAAAAGAATGTGTGCTGATCATTGATAAAACGACGGGAGAAGTTACGATCGAGAAATTGCATCACAATATTCAAGTGAAGAAAACACGCAGTGAGACCAATAACAAATCATCAGCCAACTTCTCCTCACATCAAGCGAGTATGAACAATGCAAGTGGAAGTGGCGGTAGCGGCAGCAGCAGCGGCGGCGTCAGCAATGTTGGAGGTGCAAGTGCTGGCAGTGGAATAATGAGCGGCGGAATGGGAGGTGGTTCTGGAGGCAGTATTGGAAATGTGTCGGCCAGTGTAAGTAGCAATGCACCATCTCGACCGTACATGGAAAATAATACACAACGGAAATCGAATAAAACGCGAGTGTCGACAGGCATTCGAAAAAATGCACTCAGTTCATTTGTACCGCGTCATTCGCCCATCCAAGGATCACCATCATATCCGCATCATAAAAGTCCACAACAAGCGCCGGCTTGGAATGCAAACAATGGCCAATCAACGCTACCAAGTATCCCATTGATTGGCATGGACGATGATATTATGCCAATGACCAAACCAATCACGAATAATGTAAATAGCAGTCCGGCAGCACCAGCACCGCCACCACAACGAGCCTCAAACCTAGACGTACCACACCAATTTAGTAGTTATCACTCAAATAAACCATCGACATCATCGCCCAAACTGAATGCACCGTCAAATAATAATCGACATTCGCATTCGCATTTGCCACACTTGCATTCGGGCCATCACGGTGCCAATGCCAATGCCAACGCCAACGCCAATGCCAACACCAACACCAACCACAGTTCACACAATTCAAGTAGCCTTCAAAGTAGTAGTTCGTACGATAAAATGCAACAATCGCGACAATCAAGTAGTAGCCATCATCAATCTTTACCCAAGGATGAATTGACCTCGTTGGTCAGCGTCATGTCTTCATCTGACTCAAGTGATTCATCCGATTCGGATAGTAATAGTAATAGCAATAGTAGCGATTCGGATAGCAACAGCAACAGTGACGATGACAATGACGACGATGATGAGGGCATGAACCATCGGCCACAGCAGCAACAGCATCAACAAAACCAGCAGCAGCAACATCATTCAAATGCAATGCGCAAGCCAGTTGATAATGGATCACTGCCAGCTCTCCTCCTAGACGAAGATCTACGCCTATCATCGGCCTCATCTGATTCGGATGATGATTAGCAAAATGAACACATAATCAAACATCCCTACTCCTCCCCCGACCCGAATATACCGATTTTGTAATGCATATTTGTAATAATAATTTTCTGAGCAAAAGAGATGTGGAACAGTTCTTCCATCAAATCGAAGAATTGATTGTATATCACGAATTTTCTTTGTTTCATTTTTTTTTAATCATTAAGTTCTGTTTTTAATAATAATTGAAGATGTATCGAAAATCTAAGACATTTGTTGTTTTTATTCCAATTAAATGAGACAATGAGCAATTGGGCATTCATCAAAATTGGAGAAAATTCGAGAAAATTCCAGACAGATAAGAATTTAAAGTGAACTGATCCGGGCTGGTTGCAGCTGAACCGATCCGGGCTGGTTGCCGCTGAACCGATCCCGTGCTGTCATAACATTGAAATGTCAAATCATCTCGCAGCTCAAAATAAACTCTGTACACAGCACCTTATAACCGAATCACAATTTTCATTGGACTCAGCGAGAATGAGTACTTTGTGGAAAAAATATGGACCGGTCCTTGTTCTGGTGCCGGCTATAGTTGGCATTCATTACGGCTGGTTTTTATTGCAACAAAATGAAAAATTAGTGCCAAAAGATCAACAAGTCAAAGAACAACCCATTGTCTCGGTAAGAAATATCGACTTATCGTCATGAATTCAGCTCAAGCCAAAGCATATTGTTGATATTTTATCTATTCTCCTCTTCTCAATTTAAGGCGGCGAAATTATTTTACGAACGGATTAAAAACATCGGAACAAATAGCAGTGCCAGCGAAAAATAAAATGGAATACTTTGCTTCACAATTCAATCTACTTAGTCGTATCTTTTAGTTTTATTTTTGAAACATGAATACTTCATCAACAACAACAACAACAACAACAAAAATTATCGTAATGTGAGAATTTGAGTTTATCCTCGCAATTATATTTGTTTATAGAGATGAAATAAATACAAATTGAAAACATAAGATAAAAAATGCCGTAATCAATACAGCCATAGAATTATTATGTAAATATTGTTTCAAAACAAGTATTCGGTTTATTTTACATACATAAAAATTCCTTCGTTTTCGTTCAAACAATGGCTTATTTAAGAGTACAATTTCGAAATTGTAATTAGAATCGCATTGCTTTAGCGTACTCGATTCAAAGCAATTGAATATTGGCTTTGGCATAAAATGGATCAGTTTAAGCGAAACGTCAAAACACACACACGACACCAGACGTATAATTATATAATAAAAAGTAAACAAAATTATACATGTTGTTATCAACGAATCACGACCACAGAGAAAAAGGTTAAAGTTTGAGTTTGTTCAAGAGCAAATCATAACAATAAAAATCGAATGGACATGACAAGGCATGAATATTGTGAATAGTCTCCAGACGATGCAGGTCGTTGTTTTCATGCTATTATTGGTGACCGAGAGAGGAACATACGATAATCGAATACTTTTTGGCAATCGATTGTACCACCAGTCGATTTTTGAATGAATAAAACAAAGAATCTGTGATAAATTTTTGTCAATGAAAGTGAACTGAAATCCTGTTAACAACAAGTAAACAATGTGAATCGCATGTGTATATTCATTATGATCATTGTGTGTTGTCATTAGCATTTGCTTAATTCAAATCATGTGCCGAAATTTGTTTTTTTTGTGTTTTATTTACGGTATTTTCTGATCACACTATAAAGTTTCTATAAATAGATTACGACAATTTTATACGCTTCGGTTCAACGCATGGTTGTTTTTAATCCCTTTACTTAAATTGTTAAGAAGAAAATTGCAAGAAGTTCGTCGATGTGTCATTCAGTTGAAAATTTTGCCTGCTAATCATTTTGTAAACAAACTAAATCATTTGCTTACGATGCAGTAAACAAATCCAGCCATTTATAGAATCAATTTACGTGTAAATTTTAAGAAAATTTAATTCAAATTGGATACATATGACGTGCAGTAAATGTAAACGCCTAAGTAATATTTTGCGGGTGTTGCAGCAGCAAAATCGTTGATTGACGTTTAGCTGACTCTGTTCATTTCATCATAATAATCATTATCATCTGATTCAGTCAAATTGTCTCAGCAAATACTGTGTTTATTTTCGTTTATTTTTTTTTCTCTTTATTTTGTTATTGTTATTACTTATTTTTAAGGAACGTCGTTTCCCAAATTTTTTGAAAAAACCCAATAAGCAATTCAATTGTAAGCAAAAAATGCTAAGAGAAAATACACAAATACCAAACCACCAACCGTCAACCAATCATGAAGTCAGAAGTAAGTATCTGAATAATTCAAAACAAAGTGTAACATTTTAAGCAATGAAACACAATTCTAAACTATGAACGAGTTGAACTTGGAACATTGAAGTTGATTCTAGAGTAGATTTTACATGTTTTTTTTTCTTTGTGGCTCAGTTTCAGATTCTGTAAAAGCGTCAGTTAATACTGTTGCAATAAATCTATTCTGTGGCGCTCTAGCGGGTAGCGTGGCAAAAACTGTTATCGCGCCACTAGATCGGGCTAAAATTAATTTTCAAATTCAGTAAGTTGAATGCAATTTTATAGACCGTTTACTCTTTCACTGTGTGCGTATTAGGGATTTCAAAACGATTATTTCCCTTGCAGCAAAGATATTCCCTATTCCTTTCGAGCAGCAATTTTATTCCTCCGGAACACGGTACATAAAGAGAGCTTCTTTGCACTATGGAGAGGCAACTCGGCGACAATGGCACGAATTATCCCTTATGCAGCTATCCAATTCACATCGCACGAACAATGGAAGAAAGTGCTGTCTGTAGACAAAGACCAAAGGTACGCGAACACCAATTCAACTCATATGGAACATTTGGCTAATCTTTCTTTCTTTTCTATTAGCACCAATTGTCGGAGATTTTTAGCCGGATCGTTAGCTGGAATAACATCACAGTCATGCACATATCCATTAGATTTAGCTAGAGCACGAATGGCTGTTACGGATAAATACACCGGTTACAAGTAAAAAAATACGAAGAGTTATTCTTGATTATATGCATACCAAAAATGACTTTGAATTTAATCGATTTGAATATTCGATTCACAATTTAGGTCACTACGACACGTATTCGTAAAAATTTGGGTTGACGAAGGGCCAAGAACTCTATTTCGTGGCTACTGGGCCACTATTTTAGGTGTTATTCCCTATGCAGGCACATCGTTTTTTACATTTGAAACGTTAAAGCGTAAACATTACGGTGCATACCACTTGACAAAGGAAATATACTGCTTTATACTAGTGCCAATTGCTAATGTTTTTCATGTAATTTTTCAGAATATACGGGAGAAAAGAAACCGCAGCCAATTTATTCGTTCTGTTATGGATCGATGGCTGGCATCTTAGGACAAACGGCCAGTTACCCATTGGATATAGTTAGAAGACGAATGCAAACGGTTGGAATGATGAAACTGCCACCGAACAACTATCGAACAATTTTGTCTAGCCTCAGATTTATTTACAAGTATGTGTTCAATGGTTGTCATCCGAGAACAACTGCAACGATTCATCATTTTTTAGATTTGATCTAACTTTTTTTTTTTGCATTGCTCCGGTAGAAATGAGGGTGTAGCGCGCGGATTTTTTAAGGGATTGAGCATGAATTGGGTGAAGGGCCCCATAGCTGTTGGCATCAGTTTCACCACATTTGAATACTCCAAAGATTTTATAACCATTCGCTTATCGGTGTAAAGCTCATTTAGACGATAAAAAAAAAATCGCAGTGCCTAAATATCTATGAATGCCCTACAACATGCTTGACTGTATACATCAAATCGATTTTCTATGTAATTCAAAATACGTACAACAGAAGGTGTCGACTGGATTGATATAAAATTTCAATTAAAATTTGGATATTTTTTTTGGCTTTGTTTACCATTTTTATTAGATTCGTGATTTTTTTTCTATTCAAATTTATAGTAGAGAGAAAGGAAAAGCAAATAAATTGTTGATTTTATTGAACTGACTGAAGGCAATATTACTTATAGTAATCTGATATGATATTGAGCTTTGATGTAACTGCTTATGCTTTAGCATCAAATTTAGCAGTATTGTAGTACAAAGAGAACAAATAATGTTAATGCTAAATACCAAAAAAAACCCAACTAAATGTTGACTGGCAATGTGCGTGTTTGAATAAATGTTGAATTTTCATCGAAAAGTTCAAACAATGTGTAAAACAAATGTTTTACTCGTTTTTTCTCCTGCTCTGTTCATTGATATTGTCCATACCAGAACACGTTGAGCGCTAAATTTGAAACGAAACAAAAACGAAAATCACTTGAACACATGCACCAGCAACACTACCACCATCACCCCGTCAATGAGTGCGGCGACGAGCGACAAGCGTACGAAAGAGACAAACGGATGGAATATTCAAGGCCAAATAAGTGAATCGTAATGGTACCAAAGTGTTACAGCTGTCAAATACACAACGGTATGACTGAGCTAACAAGAACGAGAACTCAGCATGCGAACGATGTGCCTATGACTGTGTGTAAATGTCAAAAACTGGCTGCGTACACTGTAACACACATACACAAAGTAAACGCGGCGTTGAACGCAACGCAAAAGCAGGATGGCTAGATAAAAAAAAGCGGCTCACATTTCAATCCGTTGTCGGTTCAGCGCGAGTCAAGTTGAACAAAATTTTTTTTTATTCCATCAGTGTGATCGAATGAGGTAAACAGAAGAAGACAGAGCGACAAGTGCGCGTCGACTTCTCGGTACATATGAATTTGTAAATGGCTGACGCTATTCTGGGAAAATTGTGATTAGATAGTGTGTGATAAACTGAAAGTGCTTAAATTTATTCTCAAAATAAAAATAATTAAAAAAAATAAAAATAAAAATAATCGCCATACATATTACGACGAATAAAAAGAAAATTATTGTTGAAAATCGTTTTTAAACCGTATTGTGTTAAACAGCGAAGTAAGTTCAACCATTTTTTTATCCTAGATTTATTCACGAATTTCCGACAAGTCGCAGAAAAAAAAATCTGTTTGCAAGTTTGTTTTTCTGAGAGTTTTGCAATGGTATTGGTGTGTTGTGTGGTCATTATGCGTACATGTGAATTTTAAAATGTGTATCAATCTTAATTTATTTTTTTCCTTGCCCGAACGGTGAACAGAATACATATAACATGCATATGCCGAGATATATATTTATTCTTTTGAATTTGTTCTGTCATTTAGAGAAAACGAGACAATTTCGCAATTCGTTTTTTGTTGTAAACAGCGGACATCGCGAATAAATCCGATAACATTTACCACGACAATCAAATTGAAAATGTCCATGCAACTAAAAGAAAATGAAAAAAAAAACTTTGGCGAAAAAAGAAATGTCGTCTGTCGGAAAAGAATTGTCGCCGATAAAAGTGACGACAGCCGAAAGAGAGAGAGAGAGAGAGAGAGAGAGTTAAAGAGGGATGGAAGAAGAAAAAAGATGAAAATGAAAGCGAAAAATTCACTTTTTTTCATTTTGCGTCCATTTCTCGCTGAGAACAGAAACACAAACCGAATGCAACACCAACAACAACAATTAGCAATGAAATAATCTCAAAACAACTCGTTCGCAATTTTTTATGCGTCATTCGCTATTCTCTATATATTCTGGTGAAGTGGATGCATGTGTGTGCGCTTTTTTTTAAACTGTTGTTGTTGTTCTTGTTCTCAATTCTATTATATTCTCCATGTTTCTGCTCTTTCATCCACTCATATTGTATGCCGCATTTTGTGTGTGTCTGTGTGTGGCTTTGTGTTTGTGTGTATACACAGGAGAATAATTAACCAGAATTAATTACATGAAACAAACAAAAAAAAAGCTTGCCATTTAGAATGCGAAAAGTAAAAGAAAAAGAAAACAAAATTGAGTAGAGAAACATTCTCGGTGCCTTATGAAAACATATGCACGGTCGCGAGTTTGGAGTGTTATGTATTATTATTTCCGTTCAATCAATTTGTTGTTGAAAGGGATATTTATGGTTGCAGAAATGCCGTCATTATTCCGTTGTATTATTTTTTTTAATTTTTTCTTCCTTCGCTTCTCTTCTTCGGTCTGAGCGGTTACAGTTGCCAACACAACCGAACTTGAGACATCGTATTGGCTTCTTGCAAATTGCAAGAAAGTGTGATAGCTACTGAACAGTTCCTTGGCTTTAAACTTGGATATATACTTGTTATTTGCTCGTGTAAACTGATACATATGGGGTACCGTACTGGATAACATATTTACTCGCGCATTCGATTTGATGGCTAACGATTTGAAAAGGATTTTGTGTGGGACGTTGATTCCTGTAATTTCTACTTGTGTGCCCTCTGCTGCCGCTACTGTTGTTTTTGTTGTTGCCATTGTACATTTTGTTCTTGTTGCAGTCATTATTAACGCGGTGTGTATTGCCAACATACCCGATATCATTTGCGTTATAGCTATACCATCGATAGATTCCAAAAAAGACCGTATTAATTGTGTGTTTGTTTCTTCAAATGATTTAGTACGTAACACACAAAGCAATTCAATATCTATGCAACACTGGGGGGGGGGGGGTACACGAAACTCAAATGAGTAAAATTAGAACATTATTCAACGATAATAGGAAAAATAGAAGAAACTTGTGAGTTTGGTTTGCCAATGTTAACGCTTATGGACGTATTGTTTATTGTTTACAAAATAATCCCGTTAGGTCTTCCATAATCGTTGTATTGACAGTGTAATACGCTCTGCAACCGATTTTAATAGAAATAATAGCACATATATTAGCACTTTTGCACCAAAACTAGAAAAATTAGAGGACATAAAGCAAAAATATATAAAATTGAATGTAACTAGACTCTACTAGAATTTGTGTCTCGCCCCTAGATGCAACATGTATCAAATGTACAAACTATAGAGATTTCGTATACAGTCACTCCAAAAAGTTTTCGGCAACCCCCTTTTTGCTATTTTGGTTCAAATCAGAGCTCAAAAAGTTATTCAAATAATCGTTTCTTTGTTGAAAAGTCGATTTTTTTTTGTATTGGTGGCCGAATACTTCTTTTATCATATTTTTTTGATTTAAAAATCATATGCTTTCAAAAAAAGCGTTGAATACACATGTTTCTATCGTAAAATTCCTTGATCTTTTCATTGCGGCTGGAATTTTTGAGCTACACGTCATAGTTTTCTGACAAAATCAAATTTATAGCAACAAAAAAAGAGGTGGCCAAAAACTTTTTGGAGTGACTGTACATTAAAACGCCGAGAATGGACTTGTACTTGGTTTATTTACTTGATTTTGGATAGCAAAAGATTTCTATTTTTCCCCGAAAAGGGGTTTGAAAGCTTCATTTAAAATTTATTTTATATTTCATCGCTATTCAGAGCTCTCAACACCACAAAAGCCAATTCAAGAAACTCATAATAACCATTGAATATTCACGTTTGAATTAAACGCACGTATGCACATCGAGGCATAGACACACGACGCATATAGAATCGTATAGAATAGGTAGGCAATGCGAAGCGTAAACATTGAAAGACGACACCCAACTTCTCAAGAACCCACCGACCGACCGACCGACACAGAGTGAAGTGAAGCAAAAAGAGAGAGAGAAAGAGAAAGAACGAGCAAGCGATATATCATTCTCCGCTCCTTGCTACCTTTGCTGCCTTTGCTTCATTAGATTCAATCAAATAAATAGGAAAACATATTTTATGCGCATTGTGTACTGTGTCACTCGAACATAATAGACGTATACAGCTAGTTTTGAGTCAATAAAATGATGCGATGCGTAGAAAACCACCAAAAAATGTCATTTTGCCGTTTTTATGTTCATATTTTCCATGTAGAAAACTGTTCGTGTGTATGCTCATGTGTGTGCCTGTTTTCTTTCCTTCTTCGTTATCTTTTCATCATCATATAATATGATGGTCGTCACCATCCTAACGCCATGCCTCCAGACAAAAATATGCGTCAGATTTGTCAGTGGTTCAATTTACACTGTGATATACATGTTACAAGAAACATAACAACAGTAATAATAATATGGACCCAGGAGCCTAAAGAATATATACACCGAAATGATGAACGTGCTCTCTGTTCAGAAATGAAAGAAAAATAATTAAAAAAGCGACAAACATACAATGTCCTTCCCTTGATAATCGGTTGACAGTAACATTGATGCGCTATTGCTTTCTGTTCCACTCCATCGAGCCACCATATTTATTTGCTCTCTTGTCAAACAAATTAAGAAGCAATGTGAATAACAATAATGCCTGGAAATTCCTATTTACTTTTGCGTCGGCAATAAGTCTGTAACACACATATGCGGCTGCAGAAGCACCAGCAGCAGCAGCACATTACCTGTGCGCATATTATGGTAATAAAACCAAATCGTACATTAAACACTTAGAACAAGCGTCCGAAGATCATCTATCAGTAACAGAGCAATAGCAGTAAGCAGCACCTGAATTATTATTATTATGTTGTGATGATGCTCAAGCTCAACGAGACACATACACGTATACGAGAGAAGAGAAAAAAGCCCGATAAAGAGACAACGATAACGAACGGTTGAACAAAATAATAAATACAGGGAAAAAAAATTAAACTGAAACACACATTAAACTTCACGCCAAACTATACCCAATTTATATAGATGTGCCTGTTTATATGTGCTATGAAGTCGTCTTTTTTGCCTTTATACCTGCCTTTTTAATTTGTTTAGAACGCATTAAAACTGGCGTTCATAAACTATACGATGTACAACATTGTATCCAATGCAATATATGCTGAGGCACCAATTCGGTGTATCTCTCTCTCTCTCTCTCACACACACACACACACACACACTTGCTCTTTATGAATGCATGTCACCAAATTCACACAGGAATATATTTCAAATTCTTGACAACGTAGAATGCTTCTTGCATCCATCGCATTTACTTTCCAAAAATCGGCTCGTCGCCGTTGCCGTCGCTGTCGTCATCATCGTGCATTGTCTTTATGATACCGTTTGACTTTGAATTTCGGTGAAAACAAATATTTTGGAAAAATAAACAATAAAAACGTATATTCAAAACAACAGAGGAAAAAAAGATGTTTTCAAAGCGTCTGAAGTTGAAAAGAAATGTCAGACAAATAAACGCACGGAAAAAAAGGATGACCGAATAAACTAAGTGTAATAAAAAAAAGGTAACAAATGTATGGGGATAATTTTCTGTTGTAAATAAAGCATAACTTATTCGGTATGAATGCATATGTATGTGGATGTGTTGTGTATTTTTTTTTCCGCTCCTTTGGATAAACATTATATTTTATGCATAAATAATAAATGTTTGTATTGTTTAGAGCAATAAAAATATTTGAATTATGCGTTGAAATGTCGTTTATTTGACAGCCTATGATGGCATTTGTATCTCTCTCGCTCTCGCTCTCGTCCTACCGCACCGATACTCCGATTTCGTATGTTTCGATTCGTTTGCGAGAAAATTGCCCGATAAGTACACATCAGAAAACCGTATCGAGCAACAAAACGAAATAAATACACCAAACTGAAAATCTTTACTCTATATAGAGAGTCCATGCGCATATATATACAAATATATTTAAACATATACAAATGAAATTCCTGCGAAATGTTTTTCTTTGATATATTTTTGTTGTTGATATTGTTGTTCTCTGGTTGCGCCGCATTCATAAGCGATCTGTTTATTATTCGCTTTTTCATTTGTTGCATATATTTTAAAATACGAATAAATAATCAAACATGAGCAAATTGATATTCAAACGAAAATATATTGTGCTGAGATACGCGCGCAATGCGCCTGCTATATTCGTTTTATTTTTATTCAGTGATTCCTCGATCCGATTTCGCATATCTCTCTCACTCCCGCTCTATCGCTCACTTTAAACAAAAGCAGCAACGACTGCTAGCCACACACACACACACCAAAAATCGAAATGAATTGAGAAGCGCGAAAGAGCTCACTGTCGGTCGGTCGGTAAGTCGATCGAAATGTTCGTGTCAGAGTTCGATACATCGGTGCGCGTTCATTGATGTTGAATGTGTGTGAGAGCGTGTATCTCATTGGAGATTCGTTTCATGAACTCAACTATAAAATATCAGTAGCAAAAGGCAATCATTGCTATTTACTCGAATGTCTTCGGTGTTACAATTCACGCAAATCGACTATTAATTTAGACGGCTCCGACGACGACCTATTATTCAAAAAAGAAAGAGAGAGAAATAACAACAAAAAATTGATCGTATTACATATTAAACACTGATTTTATTATACTTAAACTTTCATCCGTTTCTCTTTCTCGCTCACTCTCTCTTCGATGTCGTCATTATTGCTGCTATTGTTGTTATTGTTGTTGTCAACTGTAATCACTTGAATGTCACACGGTTTGTTCGTTCCGACTTTGATTTATTTAACGTTGATGTGAATATTAAAAAAAAAAAATACACAATTTTCAGTTACCGATAAAAGTTATCAAACAAACATATTGATTGTGTGTAAGTGTGTTCAAATACGAACAACATTTGTGTCATATCGCATCGAATTTAATGTTTATGTCAATAAATTGAAACATTTGATCGTCATCTACCGTGTACAGTGTGTTTAATTTACTCGCTAAATTTCAGAGAAAGAAATAGGTACGCATTTGGATTCCAAGCAAAACGGACCATATCAAAATAAATAAATGTGTGTGTACGAGAGAGCAGAGAGAGAAATAAACAACTCATTCTAAAACAGATTCACACGTGTGCACATTCGATCATTTACAACAGTCAATAAGCCGTATAGTAAACGGAAACACATAAATATCATTTGAATTCGTTCAGTGTTATTCTTTTTCTATTTCGCGTCTCGAACCTCGTATACTTCATCGCATCGGTATCAGTCGTTGCACCAATTTAACGCATTTTGATCGAATTAAATATTACGCTGCGTAAGTAGCTCTCGTGAAAATTTCCAATCAACTGAACGTTGCTTTTGAATATTCTTGTGCTTGGTCAAAGCCAATGCCGAAACAAACGAAAAAAGAAGAAGAAGACGTAGGCGAGCTGCAATCGAAGATGAATACTCGAAATTGATAATAATTTTTTAATTAAAACAATCGTGATGAAAACGATAATTTATAGTTTACCGTGTTATTAATACACCCAAAGCAAGCCAATTAAATGGAATTGATGTTGATTAAGTTATTGTTCAGCTAATTATTTAGACAAGAAGTAAAGAAGAGAATAGAACAAATGAAAACGAACCAGCGCGCGCAAAAAAAGAGAGATGAAAAAGAAAACACAATAAATGCATAACAATAATATAATATTGAAGAGCTGTGTGTGCTCTATTCTCTCTCTGTTTGTCTCGAATTCTCTTTCGATTTCTGTTATTGTTGCTTTTTATCGCTTCTTTTGCCTCGTTGTTATTTGTTATGAGGGAGTCTGTGCACACTTTGTGTGGTGTGGTATGTTTTGTTTGCAAAACCTTCAACACACAGTTTAGTGTTTCATTGTTGAGCTCGAAGCCTGATGTATGAAAAGCATATTAAACTATTTCTTTCTCTCATAGTTTGCTATATTCATATTTATACTTCGGCATTTTCCATGGATTTCTGGAAATCAGCTTCGTATACGTGTTTTTTTTCTCCTCTCTGTTTTCTTTTCTTTATTTTCACTCACTTATATTGCTGTTCATGCTGTGCTGGCATTCTCTCCTCCTTCGTCTGCTCCATACTTCTTCTTTCAATTTAATTCCTTAAAATAGCCGACGTATAGACGTAATAAAATTTAATATTCAAGTATTTTGTCTTTAATGATTTTGTTCTCTCCCTTTCTTTCTCTCTCTCTCTCTCTCTCTTTTCATCATTCCATTTTTCTCTTTCAATATTTTCATAGAGATTGCACATTTAATACTCTGTTATTAGAAGCTTTATATACAAGCATAACACTTAATGCGATGTCAGTACATTATAGATATTTGTTTTTAGATATTTTGTTTTTCCATCGGTTGTATCATTTGCTTTCAGATGCCATTTACTTCATATTACATTTTGTACCTCCTTCTCTTCTTCTTCTTCTTCTTCTTTTTCATTCTTTCCATTTCAATTCTTCCCGATTTTCTTTTCCATCGAATTGGTGCAACTAAATCGTATGCACGGTTCGTTGTTGTATACAGTATGCGCTGCAATTCAGTGGAAATGGTTATCTTTTGGTTGATGCAATTGTTCCGAAATGGGAGATCAGCCGTTTTGAATGCAAACATATCCTGAAACGCTTCAAACGATGTTTCGCAACATCGCCTCAGAACTGTTTCGATAGTTGAATAATAAGTTTTTGTGTGGCTACAAGATCAAAGTCGCTCAATACACTCAATACCATTCTCAATGCAACGTTTATTATTCGGTTCATTTTGATTCGACGCCATGAAAAACCATTTGAAAGCATACAAAACGATTCTGCGAACATTTTATAAATGAAAAACAGAATGTTGCGGCACATTTACTGTTAAATAATATTTAGTTAAGCGGAATTTGTGCGGCTTTTCCCCCGCACATTTATAAATCAACAATAAACATAATTTTTAATAATAATTTTTTTTCTTCTACTTCTTTTTCACTCCGCATCATCATCGTCATTATCATCATCATCAGAGTCTATTTGTGTTGTTTCCCGTTTTTGTTGTTGATGGAATAGCATCATGTCTTTGTGGGAACGAGTATCTGGCCAAGCGGGCTTCGAACGAATCAAGTCACTGTACAATGAAAATTTCCCCCTTGAAGTGCGTATATTGTGCGCTGCATGGATCGAAGAACGGATCAAAGCCGAGCAATACATCGACATAAATGATCCACAGTATGAGCAACGTGCGGCCAATTTTATTTCAAATTTGATCCAACAACTGGAGCTGGAGAAGCAACGCTTGAAAAAACCCGAAGAACTGTCGATTAAATATCGAATCGAAGATGCAATGCGAACATTCACACAGAATATCTATAGTCCGGGTCAATTATATAAACAAATTCGTGATGCATTGATGTACGAACAGCATATTTTGGACTCGTGTGCTAATAATCCACAATTGAACTATGTGGACAACGAGGTGCTCGAAATTAATGATAAAATCAAGAACTTACGCACACTTATCATGCACAACAATGAGGCTGGCAATCGATACAAACACGAATTGGAACAGTGTATGCTGCGCTACAGCGAAAGTACAAAACGTATCCAAGAAATGAGTAATATGCCGAAAACACAGGATAATGAAGACCGATGCGCCGCATTTATGGAAGAGTGCAAACGTCAAGTTTGCCTCATGTCGGACAATATCAATCAACGACGCATTGAGATCTATTCATCGATTCGAACCGTCATCGATTTATTGGACGAGGTACAAAAGATTGTCATCCATAAGCGTTTGGGCAAGTGGCAACGTGATCAAGCGTTAGCCGGCAACGGTGCACCATTACCGCTGAATGCGCTCGACGAAATTCAGATCTGGTTTGAAGATTTGGCCGAACTCATTTGGAATACACGTACATTGATAGATACCATGCGCAAGTCTCATATGCCACTTAGTCAGGCAAATTTTGACGGTTTTGAGGTGGCCTATCGCGAAATTACCAACCTTCTACAGAATCTGATTGTATCGGGTTTCATTGTGGAAAAACAACCGCCGCAAGTTATGAAAACCAACACAAGGTAAATACCATTTTGGAAATTGAACAGAGGAGACAGTTTGCGGGTTTTTTTTTCTTCATCATCTAATAATCGAATTAAATTGCTTCATAGATTCGCTGCGACAGTGCGTCTCCTATTAGCTAATGTCAGCATTCACTTGAATAATCCATTTGTGACAGTTTCCATTTTATCTGGTAAGTCAATATTTGAACTACAAACGCATGATCGTCATCGATGTCTTTTACACATCAATTTTTCTCATTTTCTCATAAACAAAACAGAGGCACAGGCTCAAGCCCAACAGCAGAACCATTCATCGCCGTTGGCCGAAGCATCTGGTGAGATTTTGAACAACACTGGAAACTTGGAACTGCAGCAAGCAACGCGGCATCTAACATGCAACCTGAGAAACATGCAGCTGAAAAAGATTAAACGAGCCGAAAAGAAGGGCACCGAAAGCGTAATGGACGAAAAGTTTGCTCTGCTATTCCAGTCAAAATTCCAAACTGGTGACATGCAACTTAATGTAAATATCATTGATTTGAGAGAAGAACGACCAAAACCGAGAGAGAGAGAGAGTTATTTAATTTTGAAAAAACTGTGCGTATTTCCAATATAGGTGTGGGTAATGTCATTACCGGTTGTTGTTATCGTACATGGAAATCAAGAGCCACAATCATGGGCAACCATCACATGGGATAATGCGTTCTCCGAAGTCAGCCGCATTCCCTTCACGGTCGTTGACCGAGTGCCGTGGTCCAGAATGGCATCGGCTCTCAACATGAAATTCTACTCTCAAACCGGCCGAAGTTTGACCAATGAAAATTTGTACTACCTATGTAAATACGGTTCAATCTTATTTTATCATTCACCGTTCTATGCTTTGTTTTGCGGCTGCAGTTATTTCAATGGAAAATTGTGTTAAACTTTCAGGTGAGAAAGCCTACCGAGCAACTATCAATTTTAATCCCGAGGAACGTCCAATTACATGGTCTCAGTTTTGTAAGGAAGCGTTGCCAGACCGGACATTTACGTTTTGGGATTGGTTTTACGCAGTTATGAAATTAACACGTGATCAATTGCGCGGTCCTTGGACCGAAGGTCTCATCATTGGTTTCATCAATAAGCGTCAAGCCGAAGAAATGCTTCTGAAATGTCCACCCGGTACATTTTTGTTACGATTCTCGGACAGTGAACTTGGTAAGTACTCTATTCCGGAGTGACATTCAAACGGTGTCAATGAAATGCAATCGTTAATGAGGTTTTGTTTTGTGTGTGCGTGTGATCCGTTAATTTGCAGGTGGAATTACAATTGCATGGGTTGAGCATACGGTCGATCAGTTGCCGCAAATTGTTATGCTACAACCGTTTTGCCACAAAGATTTCGCCATTCGTTCACTTGGTGATCGCATCAAGGATCTGAATCAATGTGTCTATCTGTATCCCGATATTCCGAAGGATAAAGCATTCGGCAACTACTACACACCGTTGGGTGGTAAGTTTGGTTCATCTTTTTTTCTTTCGTTTCCGTTTTTGTCTATTACAAAAAGTGGATTGCTTTTAATCGAAATCCAAACATTTCAAAACTCAAGTTGAATCATCGACAAATGGATATGTGAAGCCAATTCTCAAAACAACCGTGCCAGATGAGTGTAAACAGTTGAGTAGCTATCCAAATACTCCGCAACATAATTGGCAGTCACCGGATGATCATCGTGATACCGCATCAGTTACGAGGTAATTATTTGCAAACGGCCACGATTTGAAACCCAAACAAAAAAAAAATCGTTGTTTGTTTTTCTTTTACATATAATTATTTTTCCTTCCAAATATATATCTTACATAAATCATATTTTATCCATTGGAATTAATTCGCGACTTTATTTCTTTTGTTGCAATTCACGGTTCTGCGCTTGACTCATAGAATGCACTAAAAAATTATGTGTTTGAAAACGGTTCACACATACACACACTTCATTATCATTCACAAAACTGCACATCAAATTAAAACCAAAAAAAAAAAAAACAAATAGCAAAAAAACATAGCATAACATAGCCAGGAAGCAAAAACCTTTGCTGCGAACCTTTCGACTCGATGCTTTATCGGTTTTTCCACCATTTTTTTTTGAGCACAATCTCGTCTCGGAGAATGTGAATGAGAAATGCGCAACCGAAACCAAAGAAAACAAAAATAGCGCTATTACACAAACCAAATTCGTTCTGATATTACGTTGACCTTTCAATCGATTGCAGTCTACATTTGCTTTTCAATTCAACCTTTGAAATCAAACCTGCTGAGTCAATCAAAATTTGCACCAAATACGAAAAAAAACCCAACCAAATCTTTATATACACCTAATAGATGTATGTGCTAGTCCATATTCGAGGAATTTTAAATGATAACTAAAGATACACAACAAAACCACACTCACTGTGCGACAGAATAAAGTTTTATGTTTATGTTTTTTTCTTTCTTCTTCTCTTTTCGCAACAACACGTTCCAGCTACCAGAATAGTACAATAATGCATCTGTAATTAATTCCCTTTATCAATTTGAATGTGCGAAAAGAATTAATTTATCATGAATTCATTGAATGCAAAGAAGAAGAAAAAAACGAAAAAAAGAATAAAGAGAAAAAGATGCGAATTTAAATCTTTGAATGGCACCTAGAAACAAGAGAAAAATTTTTTTTTACTGCGGATGAGAATAATACCGAGTTTAACAGAAATCCGGTTTATTTTCATTCGGGACAATGTTAAAAGTCGATAAACTAAATAAATGTAATTTAATTATATAATCAGACAAAAAACAAAAGCCACACAGAAGAAACACAGTGAAAGTCCAAAAAATATTGATGTATTCTGTACTTATCGTCTCGATTCCCAAAACAAAAGAAGAAAAAAACCGAAAGACAGTACAAACGTGCATGCAAAATAATTGTATCGAAAACAAATGATTATAAATTGTTTATTTTCCTTTCGAAATTGTCAAGTTGATGCGTTGTGATTCCTTGAAAATTGTATATTTTATTTGTTTTTATTTCCTTCTGTTTGTATCTGGTCACGAGTCATCGAGAGATGTGATGATCTCACTTAATGTGTGGTTTGTTTGTGCACTGAAATCATTGATTTATTGCACCCAAAAGAATGAATGGGAAAGAAAAAAAAACACGCATGAACATTTTTGTGTCGACATTAACCACGTCACTGGTATAAGGATGTTTGTTGTACTGGTTTCCCCCTGCCAATTTGAGCGTCGTTTCGTTGTGTTATATTTCATTTTGTTTACTTGTTATAAATAGCAAATGTATTTGTGATTGTCGTTGAAAGAGTATGACTTGATATTTTCTTTGTGTGTTTTTTTTCTTCTGTTTTGTATAATTGATGTTATATCGTGTTGGGGTCGTTATTTGATGAACAACCACTTAAGTGGAAAGCATATGCATCCATTTTTAATTTGATCAAGGAGGTTTCGACATAGAACACATTTTAAAGGGAAGGGCACAAAGTATAGAATTCGCCATTTTGATTGCAAAGTTCGTGCAATGAATTTATGTGCAGTTTCGCTTATGTTCTTTTGCACCTTCTCTCTTTCTCTCCTTTCCTTTCACGAGACAGTTGAATATCATCAGCTTAACTGAGAGATTATTAGTAATTTCTCTCGTTTAATTTGATCATCAGCTTGTTCTTAATAAGGTTGATATTATACTAGAGTGGGATCATAAATACATCCGATTTGTGTAGGTTTAAGACAATGAATGGAATCAAAACAAGGGAAAAAGCGGAAAACATTTATTTTTCAGCAGTAAACAAATACGCGAACGAAATGGAATTTAATCTCCGATTTGAATTTATTCATGCAAACGTCCATGTTGTGTAGGTTCTAAGTACTAAGCTAAGAGAATGTCTGTATCAATATGTCTGAGCATTGTGAAATAATAACTTTGTTTATTGTCTTTTGATGGAATCAACGATTTGCTGCAATGAAATAAATCGAAGGGAGAACAAGAGGAAATGTTCAATTGTTTCACTGTCATATTTAAAAGATTAGATAATTGATATGTATTTTGTGTGTCGATTCAAACATAATCGAATATTCAATTTCATGTCTCGTTCGTAAAATGATTCGGTTTAACTGAACTGACTTCTTCAAATTGAAGCTTATCAAACTGAATATTGGTTGTAATGGAGAGACAACGAACACTTTCTTTGCATCGATTGCATCGATGATGAAACTATTTGTGTATCAAATATCGAGTGTATAAAGAGAGTTTATGTTTGTAAACGAGTGGTTTACATGTGTTTGCCTTTTTTTTTTTTCAAATGGCAATTAACTTGCATTACTGCGCACAACAATTAGCTTCAATTAGTTGATTTTGTTTTAATGTTTGAGGAAAGCCAGTATTTGGAATAACGAACAGGGTACCAATTAGTCAACCATTTGCGTTGATTTTGCATCGATGTTGTGATTATAACGAATTTAAACATTTGTTAAGCATACATAAGTTACTACTACGGATTGTCATCTTCTTTTTAACACTGTCTTGATTGCACGTGCATATGTATATGTTTCTACTGTGAGATCGTAAAGAATACAACCAATCAAAGATGTTTCGACCAATTTTAACTAACTCACTTCAGAATATTTATTAGAGATAAATATTTACCGATAGAATTCGATGGATTAAACAGAAAACTATATCAATGTGATGTGATGTGATGTGATGTAATTTAATGTGACTTGAAGTGTCCATGGACATTCACATATTATTATTATAAATGTTGGATGTAATTTAATAGGCACTAACAAAAACCAAAGTCGTTATTCAATTTAATGGATTTATTGTTATTCAACTTGGAAAATGGTCGACAGGACATTCAGTTTTATCGTAGTCAATTTGGATTTTTGCTGTAATTAAGATTGCATGTGATAGCAGCACTCTACGTACTATTTATATCACACAAACACTATGATTGTTTGGTCAAATCCACGAAACTACAGTTATTTTGAGGGAAAAACGGATGGAAGAGAATTAAATTACAGGGCCAATTTGACTAAATCTAGCTAGCTATATATAAATATATGAAATTCTTACTTGTTTTTAGATAATTAGAGCGGTACAAGTTTACTATGAATTCTGATTCTCCGGGAATATCTTCAGCACACGAATATTTAGACGATTACTCACATTTTCACTTGATGAAGAAAAAAAATTCGAAACAAACATTTTACAAAAAAAAATTGCTTCGTCTCTGTTATGTCCGGTGAAAGTGATAAGAGATTTAAAATATTTCTACGAAATTATAGAGATATCTTTCGCCAGTTCATTTCACTTAAGCCCAAGGCCTATTATTTTTTCATTTAATTTTGAGTGGTTTGGAGCGAAAATGTTATACAGAAAAGTTGAGAGGAAAAATGTCAAATGAAAAGAGATAGCTATATAGTTCACTATAGTTTACTATATAGCTATCCCTTTTCCGCTCATTCATCATCGACATTTTCCCGCTCAACCTTTCTCTATAACATTTTCGCTCCAAACTACTCATATATACGCGTTGCTGGGCGAAAAAATGAGTTGCTCTTCACTTTGACCGAGTGTCACCACCACAACAAAATAGCTTCATAATTACCACAAAATAATGAATGTCATTGCACCGATCCACTAGCTTTTTAATGGTTGCCTCCCTTTGGCTTCATTTCATTCATTTACGGCTGTTTATTTTGCCTATTTGTTTTTTTCCTTCTTATTTCATTCTTTATCAGCGCATTTTTTATTATTATTACATTTTTCTTACGCTTACTCTCTATCACTTTCGATTTAAGGTTTTTTTTTAAATGCATCGTTTAAATTTTCATTTTCGTTTTTGTTTTAATCATTTTTCTTTTGTTTTTTTTTTGTTTCTTTCTTTCAATCCAATTTGTTTTTTTTAATTTGATTGGGGAAAAAATGTAGTTTCAACCCACATGAATCAGATGGCTTCAACAATACCACTGATCCATATTTGGAGATGCAGATGGATGATGCCGACTTCAATGCTCTATCGGATTATGTAAACTAAACACAAGCTGGAGCATATATTAGAGCACACACAACTTTATTGAGCAACAAAAAATGATTGAGAAAAAAAAATTAAATAAAACACATTGAAAATAATGAAACAACAACAATAAAAAAAAATCAAGTAAAACTGACATCATTTCAGCATAAAAGATTATAGCAAGAGAATATATATCACAATATTGGAGAGAAATGACACAGGAAGAGGGGCGACACCGAATTAATAATAAAAAAAAGAAAAGAAAATAAGATTCAATAAAATCGATTACAAAACCGAAAGAATTTTGTACATGAATAGAATTAATAAGAAAGAAACACATAATATCGAAACTAGAAAAAAGAGGAAAAAATGGAAAAGTAATAATTGATTCATCAATCCTTTTTTTAAGTTCATATGATTATATATATTTTTACGTTTTTCTCACTTACAACAACCACAACTTTCTTTTTTCTTTGTCTAATTTGTAAGGAATTGAGTTTTTTTTTTTGAAAATTAAAGCAAACCTTCTAGAGCAATAACAATCAACGATGCAAGAGAAAAAAAATAAACATAACAGAATAATAGTGTGCAATAGTATTAAGTTCCATTGGTGGGAATGAAGCTAGTGGTAAAGGTATACTCTCGCTCATCAGGACACACGCAATATATATTGAGAGTTGATATCAATGAATTTTTTCGCCTCACTCGAGTGAGAAGAGATCTCTTCTCGAATTTTTTTTTATTTCCTTCCTAAAGTTACTTAATTTTCTATATTTTTTTACAAGAGACCAAAATTTCAAGTATTCTCGAATTACATAAATTTCATTTGTTTTTTTTCTTAATCGCATAATTAGGGAAAAAAATAGATTTTCTTCTCTATTTCATTTTAAAAAAAAAAGGAAAAAAATAAGTATATAAATGTAAAAAAGAGGAAAAAACAGAAACACAGATTTGATGCCTTAATTAAACTCGAGACTAAATTACACACAACGACAGTCGATTTGAGAGTGCTTCTAATTGCATTTCTCGCATGTTTTATTGATGATGCAATTATTACGAATAGTTAAAAAAAAAGAAGAATTGGTTTTTTTTTCATCAGATGTGACATTACCGCATAATTCAATTATATATGAATTCTTTGAAAAAAGTATTGGAAATCTTTGAACAAAAAACAAAAACAATGCCTTTCGTTTAATTTTTTGTTTATTGTTTACTAAATTGTCTTTCCGCATTTTTGGCTTGAGCTTGGTTCGACGATTGCAGCCCGGATGATACAGCGTGACCGTTAGTTTGAATGCGGTTTTATCACAACAAAAGAACAGCAATGAAACCGTTTCAAACCTTAGGCTGTTGGAATTTCTTACTTTAATTATTAAAAACTTCGTCCATTGATTGTGATTGTGTTGCATGCTTGTACTTTATCAAGTTTTATCAAACGTTTGGTGAATGCCAATTCTTTGTCTTACATTTTAGTCTGAATATATGAATAGCGTGCTTGCTGCGAATTTCTAATTTTTTTTAGCTATTTTTGGTTTATAGTTTATTGACATGGTAAATTGTTTATTTTCATTTTTGTGTATGTGTTTTTTTCTATTGTTTTTCTGTTGGTTAACCGTAAGAATTATTCGAAAACATTTTGTGAACGTTCCGACGGAACTAAAAAAATGGTACGTGACACAATCATATAACAACGAAATGGAAACATTTAAGAAATCTACCCAAAACTCAATTTCAATTATCAATCAAAAAATTCAATTGCATATGAGTGGAGAAAAATTTGCAGAGAAAAAATGAACTATTTTAGCGATATACAATTTGATCGGATTTTTATTATGGAAATAGACATACATTTTTGCATTAAATATACAGAGCATATTTTGACATGTAACAATTGGGAAATGTAATTACAATGGGAAAATGCACATTTTACTCACTTACGTGATAGTCAAACTGACACAGTATCATTGAGAAAAAAAAGCGGTACAGAAAAAAGAAGTAAACAAAAATGATGCAACTCAATCACACAAGACGTTCGAAGGGTGTTAACAATCATCATGGCAAAGAATTTCAATGCGATATGTACGTAGGTTGAGTACATAGCGGTGCAATGATAATACACGGTTTTCCCCAATCGTATTCAATATTAGCCTCTGTCATAAGGTCATAAGGCCCTGAGGCCTAGGGGGTAGACACGAAATAACACTAGAAGAAAACTAGCAAAAATTGAGCATACTAGAAGTTACTAGAAGAATATTTGTGAAAAAATTGAGTGATGCCTCTTCCATAAGAAATGCATTGGCAATGCTATACTTATGGAAGAAGCAATGGTACGATACTAGAAATACTAGCAGAATATTTGCGTTTCTGCTTGTACACTAGAAAAACTAGAAGAAACTAAACGCCTATTTGAACCGATTTGAACAAACTAGCTATACTAGAAATTGGTGTCTAACCCCTAGCCTGAGGTCAATACTATGCGCAAACTTGAACTAATGAGGTTTCATCGTTTTTATCCGTGTTCCGCTTGGCATCTTTGACTGTTCCGTTTGGTTCGGTTCGGTTCGAATTGAATAGAATTCAGAGGGAAAAAAGAGCAAACCCAATTCACACCAAATGCAAATTTGCATGTTGAGCATCAACTAAAAATAATCGGCCATCAATATTATATGTATAGTGGAAGTGACATGTCCTATGAATGGTTGTAAAACTATAAAATACGAGATTTAAAAAAATAAAAATAAAAAATGAATCCCCACCCCCAATACAATATATCACACAATATATTTCAAATAAAATGCAAACATCAATTTTTCCGATTTGTAACTGAATCTTCAATAAAAATTTATTTATGACTTTCAATCAAATTTATATTCATTAAAATTCACATCATTTCTAACACACAAAATTCCGATTCAATACCAATAACAAACATACGGTTTCTATCCAAAATAGACAAATTTTCCTCCAATATAACAGATGAACACATATTTAAATTTTTAAATGCAGATATTTTATCAGGGTTGTGATATTTGAAATCGATGCAACGAATGAAAAAAAAAATTCAATGCAGATTATCATTGAATAAGCTCACATGAACGTGAAAAAAAAAATTATTCGTCCTGAAGCTGTTGTAACGTTTCCTTGGACGAACAAGGAAGAACACAAATTTTCAAAACCCAATACATACTTTCCGTTGCAGTTAATCAATCATAAGCATACAAATAGAATTGTCAATAAAATTACAACATGTCAATTGTGGGAAATAAAAACTGGAAGTTTTAATTCTTGGACACTCAAAGCATTTCATAATATCATTTGTTACTCTTTTTTTACTTCAAAATGCAGCAACTCTAGTGTTAATGGAATTGAAAATATCACAATAAAGCGTAAAAAAAATAGCAGCGGGTGGCAATTTCATTGAATACAACAGTGTTGATGATCAGTTTTGCTGTCGGTTACATTGTGTGCCATGACCAAAGCTTTGATACTTTCGGCCTCTTGCATCCATTCCACCACCTGCTTTTGCAGCATTTCTCTTCGTTGTCCCGATGGTTCCTGCTTCAGCAAAGGTACTAACACATTCAACGCAGACGTATAGCGATCCAGAGCAGCACTGTTATTTTGCTCATACGAATAGAGTTCAGCTTGTCGCCCGATTTCTAGAGCATGTTGTACTTGAGGTGTTGAGGTAAATAGTGAATCTGAAAGAAATGGATTCATTCAATTACATGCGTATTGAAGGAAAAAAACATGACTTTAAATTGCACTTTCATCTAAGTCGGATTGCTTTTTTCGGGGTAAGTATGGAAATGGTATTTTACGGTGAATGAAACGTACATAGTTGCTTGTAATTTAAATTTGGTTTCAAGGCCTGTTTAACTGGATTCTCTTCGCTTGATGAGCACGATGCTTCTGCTTGACCGTTAACGCTCTTGACATTTTTCTGCTGAATAAAGGCTTCAGTGAAGGAGCGTTTAATTTCTTCCGCTCGTTCCATATAATTCGTTGCTTGCTGCTGTAAATGTTGTCTTTTATTTGCATCTGATTCAGCCGCTATTAATGGCACAAAATACTGCAATCCTTCGCAGTACGCATAATAGGCTTCTCTGTAATTCTTCTTTTGGTCCTCTTCAACGGCTTTAGTAACGATTTGTATGGCTTTTCCAAGATTCTAAACAGGAAAAAAAACGTCAAAAATGGAAGAAAACATTTGTTTCAAATTGAAAACCGATTGAAATTCGAACCTCATCGGATGCATCGTGGTTTAAATTGAGGAATGGATGATCGAAAAACTGCTGAAAACTAATTCGTTGCTCCGGTTCATGCACCAATAATCGTGTCATAATGTCTCGACAATCTGATGATATAGCTGCCGTTGGAGAAATGGTAATTTTCTGCTTTACTTTAACTTTTTGCAATAGTTCATCTAATGTTTTCGAACTGTATGGTGCACGACCAAATATACACTCGTACAGAATGACACCAATGCTCCACAAATCGGCCGACGGATTGTAACAATGTTTCAAGAGAATTTCAGGGGCCATGTACAATGGTGATCCTTTTATCACAGTGTTTTCTTCGTTCAAACTTAAATACTGCGCAAATCTACAGTGAAAAATCGACACAGTTAGTATTACAAATATGTAAAATATAAAAAACAAAATATCGTTGCTTTATTGCCAGAAGAAATTTACCCAAAATCGGCCACTTTAAGCATTATCGTCGGTGCTTTGATTAGCAGCAAATTTTGCGGCTTCAAATCAAAGTGGCTGATATTATTGGAGCGCATGTATTGCATGGCTGAAGCCAATTGCTTCATGAAAAATTTGCACGTGGTTTCGGGCAAGGTGCAATGCCGTTTGATGTATGTGGACAAATTACCAGCGTCGCACAGTTCCATAATTATATAAATGCTCCTGACGATGAGAGAAGAAATAAAACCATCAGAAAATTCAAAGTTGAAATGAAGAGCAACGGAAATTCCCGGAAAAATATTGCTTACTTTTCATCCCATCTAAAGTCAATCATTTCGACAATGTGCTTATGTTTAAGGGTTTTTAGCAATTTGATTTCCCTGAGTAAATTGTCGGTGGAACTTTTCGAAAGGTTTGCCTTGGCCACACATTTTATCGCAAATGACAGTTTTGTTTCCTAAATTTTTACATAAAATTTCAATCAAAATGGGAAACAAAAAAACCATTTACAATACTTACTTTATGCTTTGCTCGATGAACCACCGAATAGCTACCGCTGCCAATGATTTCCAATAATTCATAGTCGTTCAGCTTCGGCATCGACATATTTGCTAAAATATCACATAGAAATGGAACGATTTTTAAATGAAATCCACTAAAAATGGCAAAAACATTGAAATTAGAGAATTGTATGGTTTGTTTTGTTTTGGTCATGGAATTCGTATTGACATTTCATCATTTGACGTGCAGGGATGCCAACGCAACCAATTCGCTGCGAATGTCCGTGCATATAAGGCGAAATAGTCGTTGAAATATCAGAACACGAATTATGGATGCAATTTGTGGATTTGATTCAATTATTTTTCTATCGGTTATCGTAAATGATATTTGACATTTCCACTGATTATGGTCTGTTTGAAGCGAATTTCAGAACAAAATACCATCATTACTTGTGTATTAATTGAATTATGTACGATTTAAAGTAAAATACGAAGAAGAACAATTCAACTAAAATTAATGCCAAAAATATTCTTGTTAATTGAAAACACAATAAATATACTTAATTTAATGGAAGATAAATTGTATCGAAAATTCTAAGACAGCCAAACTCCACTTGAGAGTATCAAAAACAATGTCACATATCGACCATTCCACACGAAATCAGTTAAGAATTGGATCGACCCTCTGCGAATTGGCTGAAAATTTGCATGGAGTTTTGTTTTCGGTAGAAAACGATAAAACCAAAATCTTAGGGCTGTAAGTGGCCCACATTTTCGAGTTCACCCAGTGTAAATTTTTCGGAAAATTGGAAAAATCGAAAAAAAGGGTTTGCGCCAACTGAAATCTAACTAAGAAG